CAACAATTTTAAAGTTGTTGATTGAAAGACGGATCGGATGATAATGTTTACTTAATTACGGATCAGAGTAACAATGATAATGAAGATGAAACAGAATTCGATTATGTGCTTGAAGATTTAACGGAAGACGAAGATGAAGAACTTTTCATGTTATCCGATAATGAAAATGTTTAAGTTCATAAGGTATGTCATTTTTTTTAAATAAACGGCATTTAGATACATATAGAAATCTAATTCTTTAAGATCATTCCTTATTTTTAAATCTATCATTTTCATACTCGGCGCATAACGTGCGCCCGTAAATTTCGACCATTTTTTTTTTTTTTTTAAATCGAAACTGCGCGTACGCTATTTCTTTATATTATTTGAAAAAGTTTTTAAAACCCTATATTGATGTTTCTAAAATTAAGGAAATATTGAAGGATGCGAATATTTAAAATTTACAAAATATCTTACTTGTATTTTATTCAGGATTTTTACCGAACATAATCTCACATATTGAACTGGATTATAGCCCAAAAAGTATTTCTAAAAACACATATCGAGAATAACGAAAGCAGGAAAAAATTTTAATATTTTAAGCATATCGCTTTAATTTTACTTGGTATAACTTTCTTTTTCTAGTGAGCTAATAAAAGTAATGAATTATTTGAAGTTTGTTGAGTTTTAATAATTCGTAAATGAGTTTCCATTTGAAGACTATTTGTAAAATAATTTCGAAACGCCTATGTAACTAAAAGCTATGTAGCAAATATGTGGATTCAAAGTAGCAAATGTTTATTATGATAATACGTGGTTTTAGTTTCTTTGAATATATATGGATTTGAGTTGGTTAATCAGAGAAAAAATTAAAAATTTTAAAATACACATACAAGCAGTTAATTTGCAAATTGTTAAAAAAAAACTTTTCTGTTGATTTTATTGCAAATTGTTTCCTTTACTGTATTTTTTAACTGATTTTTAATTATCTCTGGGTTCGACTTAACTGTGGGTGTCGTTTTATGCATTACACCTGGTTTCCGACAGTCGATTGTACTAATAATTTAGTTTCTACAATGATCTGGTGTATGATCTATGCGTTTATGTTTAGTTACAACTTTTAAGTCGATTGAACTCGGAGCAAAACTGATATAAAAGAATGAAAAACAAGGATTCGCCATGGAGTGCAGTTTATTAATCAAGTTAGTGCAGTTTATTTATCTGGGCAAGGGGCGATGATTCCATTCGCTGGTGCTCCGGCATGCTTTCGCGCATCAGCAGCCGAGCGTTAAAGTCACCGAACGCTGGTAGTTCGGCCTGTTGTTCGAATCCCGGCTAAGCGGATGGCTGCATGGGCATTTTAGTGGTCTTCGTCATGTGTAACATGTATACGAAGCAGTTTTCCTTAAATCCTCCAAGAAGGCATCCCTTATCTTAGTCCGTCAGCAGTAGCGTGCTTTGCCAAAATTAAATAAACCAAATCAAGCTTTCATACATTTTGTCGTACACTATTCCTTCTGGAAACATATTTTTTTCTGCAGAAACCGCAGACTGAATATTTCACAAGATATCCATCTAATTTGTATAAAATAGAAATGTAAATAAATTTTAGTAAAATGTAATTTTAAAACTATTCAAATGTTAGAAAGAATTCGATCCGAATCGATTAAGACTTCTCGTGCGGTTTATCATACGCACTCTTTTCATATACACAATATAAAACACATTTCTCTCTCAACTAAAGTAAATTAGTCATGATTATGTAATAATATAATCAGCAAATTTATCAAAAGGACAGAGTGAGATTTCTTTTCTAGGGAAAAAAAAAAAAAAAAAAACTAAAAATGCATCAGTTTACTCGTTTACTCATTTTGGCAATTCACTAATTAGTTGCTGTAATATTACAACAAATAACCTTTGGAACTTTGCAAAAGAAAAATATATTCTTGTTACATTATTATATGTTGTACTATTGTATGTACTGTTGTACGAAAAAGCAACATCTGACATCGGTATATACTTATAGAATAAAGAATTTCAATCCGTTTGGGAAAAATATTTCTTCCAAAACGGACTGTACGATGGATTTAGAATTGATTCATAAGCGTTTCTTTTTTTGGCGTCTGTACGTATGTATGTATCTAGTGTAACTGAACAACTAGTAGCCTCAGGATGTTGAAACTTTGTATATGGGACAGTTGTAATATGTAGTTGTGCATCTTCCTTTTCGGTAGCAAGTGGCCGCACCGAACATACATAAATATATAGAGCCCACTCTGTTACTTGACTTTGTGAGCTCAGTTTTTTATTCTTATATGTTGTTAAACTGTGCATTTTCTGCTTTAAAAATGATTGAATTATGTTGTTTTTGTGTTTTGGTTAAGGTTTCTATACGTTTAGTTAATATGCATACAATAGTTGTAGAATTATCAAGAGTTTAAAAGTTATTTAAGTGGTACTAAGCCTAACGAGGCCGCCATTTGAAACTCTTAGCAGAGTAGTAGTTCATTCAGTTATATTTGCATTTGAAACTCTTAGCAGAGTAGTAGTTCACTCAGTTACATTTACATTTGAAACTCTTAGTAGAGTAGTAGTTCACTCAGTTACATTTACATTCGAAACTCTTGGTAGAGTAGTAGTTCACTCACTTACATTTACATTTGAAACTCTTAGCAGAGTAGTAGTTCACTCAGTTACATTTACATTTGAAACTCTTAGCAGAGTAGTAGTTCACTCAGTTTGTGCATCAATTTCAGTGCCTTTTATGCCGAATGAGACCAATACTAAACATTCAGTTTTGTGCACCGAAAAATCTGTCTTACCGCCCGCTGGCCGAATTGCTTGTTTTTGTGTAGGAATTCTAAATTTAATTGTAAATTTTTTTATTTACAATCTTTAACAAAGATGTTTTCAGTTTTTATGTATTTCTGCTTTGCCTTGAACTGAGAACTGAACTAATTGAATGAGAAATCTATCTCTAATGAAATTCAAGGAAGTAAGTTTAAATGAAATGCTGTAAAAAATATCTATAATTTAATAGGCCGTACAAGAAAGTCATGTGGCGTTCACATAAGATTTTTTTACTAGTTTTACCGATTTTTTTTTTTTTTTTCCAGTACATGAGCGTTGGATAAGTCAAACGCAGCCAGTTATTGTAACTTTAACAACGGAAGTAGAAATTATCGCAGTTAGTATTCTAGGAAAGTCATTCAATTAAAGGAGTAATTAGTGACTGATGTATGGAGTTTGGGTTTCTTTGGTAGCATAAACTACATGATACTCGTGATCACAGGATCAAGTCACCACTTGTGGCGATGAAAATTAAAGTAAGAGTAAATTTCCAGAATGAAAGCTAAGTGTAGTAGTCAAAGACTACACATTTCATCGCGATGTTGGTTCAAAACTTCTCACTGGGGTAACAATATAAAGGTTTGTAGAGACATTAGGTATTTTGGAAGAAGAAGAGATGAAAACTGAGCAACGCCCTCGCCGGGAATCGAAACACGGACCTCTGGAATACGCGCCCTGCATACAGACCACCACGAAGCATGCCAAGAAGACGAGAGAAATACCTTATATACTACCCCTTTTAAAGGGCGACTGGGGTTTTTAGGGGACCCAGTCGCCAAATCCTGGGTGCGGAGAATCATCATCCACCACCCTTTCTTAGTTCGGGTGCCACTGTAGAGACATTAGTTATTTTGGAAGCAGGAGTGATGAAAAATGAGCAACGCCCTCGCCGGGAATCGAACCACGGAACTCTGGAATACGCGCCCAGTGTGCAGACCACCACACTACGAAGGCATGCTAAGAAGGCAAGAGAAATACCGTATAGGGTGACAGCAGTAACGCGAAGCCGAAAAAATAACAATCTTATCAATGATAGCGAAATCTGAGCCACGAGAAGCCGAAACACACTCTGTTTAACAATCCAAAAAAGTCAACTTAAAACGTCTGTAACTTATTTGCATTCTAGTAAGAAAACGGAAAAGGAAAAGTGACAGTAAAAATGCAAATCATAACTAGTTATGTAAAAAAAAATATTAACCCTGCAGATGTTACATTGAATTACCTGAAACTCCAGTAATTCAAATAGATAATACTGCTGCTGTCAGACTGTTACAAAACTCACATTCTGATACTCAAAATATTCGTTTCTTTGTGCCATTTACCGTCTCCGGTTATTACGACATCACAAATTCATTTTCACTTCTCATTCTAACATTAAAGTTATTAATTCTTTCTACAGATTAGTCTAAAATCTAATCGCGTTTTTCAACTGATGCTAGATTAAAGTAAACCTATCTGTGGTTTCGTTTCAGGTATTTATGTTTGTGATTTAGCAATAGAAAAAAATGCAGCACTCAGGCGATAACAAAGAGTTTGAGAATACAATTGCGGTCAATTGTGGCTGTCACGTGGGGAAGAAGTTCCTTTTATCTCGCAAAGTGATAAAGTTCAGTTGGGCACTTATCTGAACCTCTGGATTCAATTGTAACATGTAGATGCTAAAAGGCAAATACGCTGTATGTAATGGAGGTAAACAGAAATGATGGATTCACATTAACATGGATTATACAAAACTTCAGTATGTGTCATTTATCGAAGGAAGAGTGCTTCCCCTCTCCGGAATTTGCCTTGAACTCATTACCCGGCAAGAAATGGTACATAGGATTGTATCTTAAATGCAAGGAGGATGGAAACTACATATGTGTTGCTGTCTATAGAACTGACAATTCCGATAAATGTAATATAGAATATAGATATCAGTTACTAGACTGCAACGGAGACATCATTTTTAGTTCGGAGCATTTTATTGCAGTTTTTCTAGATAATAAGGTCTTTTATGTGCATAGCTGTACTGAAGAGAATTTCCTTTTAGGATCCCTGATTAATGACATCTTAATCATAAAGTGTACTTTGAAATCAGTGTTTGAATGTAACGAACAAGAGTTACTCCCTCTTTTTCCTTACACAAATGGATTGTTCACGGACGTTGTGTTACGTGCTGGAGGTAAATCTTTCAGTGTGCACAAAGCTATTTATGGGCGAGATGGCCTGAAATGGCAAAAAAACTCGAAGCCAAAAATTCTGAGATACATTTGGATGTCGAGCCAAATATGCTGGAAACTATCATCAAGTATATTTACACTGGAGAAATGGATTTCAACAAACATGAGTCTTTAGATATTTACGCTGCTGCGGTAAAATGTGAAATTTCTAGTCTGAGTTCTTTACCTATTGTGGCAATGACAGCGCGAACCCATATTAATGTAAAGAAAATATCATTTGAGTGGCCAATAGGAAAACTTTCCCGTTTGCCTGTTCATACAGAGCTGCAAAGTCATGTATTCGCTGCTCATGGTACGAGTGAGTGGAGTTTAATTTTTAACATTCGTATGGATGCAAAGACTGGTAAACTGTTCAAGATCTCCCTTTGTCGCAAAAATTGTTTATTTTCAATGAAACCTGTTTTCGTTAGAACTAAAATATCCTTGGATAAGTTCTCTAAAACATATCTTGCTGAAGGCGAACACATGTTCAAGTCGTTTGAAAATTGGGTATGTGCTGAGTTTCCAGGGGGAATGGATTCTGAAGAACTGGAAGATGTGCTACTACTTAAATGCGAATTTAAGTTTGCCGATTGGAAATATTCTACTCATGTTGAGGAAATCGAACATGCTTTTGTATCCCCTATAATAAACCATTTCAGGGCTGATCTTCGAAATCTTTATAAAGGCGGAAAGGTATCAGATATCGACATAGCAGTCGGTTCGAGAATATTTCCCGCTCATAAATTTATTCTATGCGCACGATCTTCTGTATTTTTTAGAATTTTTGAAGCCAAAAGGAAAAAGTGGAAAAGTAGCATCTTTACAATATCCGATGTAGACCCCGAAGTTATGGATGAAATGCTTTTGTTTATGTATTCTGGAAATTTAGAGAAGCCACTGGAAGAAACAGCTATGAAACTGTACGCAGCCGCTGATAAGTATGATGTCGTTGCCCTGAAGCAAAAATGTTTGTTCTTTTTAAAATCGAATACTACAGTCCAAAATGTCTGCAGCGTCCTCCAGTTATCGCATATGTATAACGATGACGAGTGGCATAAGGCTGCATTAGAATTTTTTGCTGCCCATGTTGCGGAAGTGTTATCGACCGATGAATGGAAAAAAATCCCCAAAGATAACTTTTGGTTTAAAATTTTGGAAAATGTCATTGTTAAGAATATTCCTACAGAAAAAGCTGTACCCGATGTTGATAGAAAAGTGAAGCAGTCATAGAAATCTTAAGAACAATATTTTTAAGCTGAACTTCTACCAATATGTTGAATTAAGACTGCAGTACTTTGCTGAATTCTGAATGCTCTGGTTCATATCAATAAAAATTTAATCTTTCGCCTTGTAAGCATAGAAAATAATGAAAAAGTTAACTTATCTTCGTGAAATACTGTTTCGATGTAAAAGAGAAAACGTATTTCGCAGTTAAGATTCAAAGTATCTATAAATATTACAAACAAGTAAGTTAAATTACAATCCTGAAATTTTGTTTAATTAGTATGTTAATAGCATTTTAAGATGTGACGTTTTGGACAACATCTAAAATTATCATATTCTATCAGTGCTCGGTGCATTTTGTTTCTATTTTGTTACAGTGATTCTTTTTTGCCGAAATATGATTTATTTCGAGATTATTTAATTGAATTGTTGTTGTAAATTTCCCAGCCAAAGATACTTGAGTGCGTAAACAAACATTTATAATTTTCATTTTTTCTCCAATATAATTTATTTCTTTTAAGTTTGTACGTGTTCCTGGTTGCATTTTAATATTACTTTAATTTTGCCAATTGATGAAGACAGACTGATGATGCCTTGTTAAAGTCTTTTAAACAGAAAGGTGTTTATGAGCTCTGTCAATTCAATTTTCCATAGAGAACTCATGATTAAGAACCAATCTTAAAAATTTATATACTTTATGAATCCTTGCATCAATTTCTCTTGATTTTAGTAACAAGGAACAGTGCTTTTTACCTTGTGTTGGTCACGGAAGTTTTATTGACTCTTTGTTCCCAAAATTCTTTTCTTTCGTCTTGTTTTCTATGTTCATCTAGTTATTACTTACTAAAGTTAATGTACCAATCATAAAGATCCTGACACTGAGAAAATTATTATAACTTGAAATAAACAGAGATGAAAGTCAATGCATATAACGAATTATTCCGCTTTCGTTTAAAATTTCTAAATTACTAAATTGAGCAATCATGAGAACAATCAAGTCTAAATTTAATCTAAGAAACTTAATTATTTAAAAAATTTGAAGTTTACAATTTCAAGCATAAAATACTTTTATGCAATTTTTTTTGGCTCAAAATTATACACCTTTTTTAGGCAAATTTGTAAAAAGTCTCTTTTTTGCTCATGCTCTTTTTTTATAGTTGCCTTTTCTTCACGATCACGTATTTGTGCTAACTATTCTTTTATTGTAATTTAATAATCGTTGATCCGTTATGATTCAATTATGAATAATTATGTTGTTGTTGTGAATTGTCTCACTTGTCTGATAATTACATCAGAAAAAGCCATCGTGGCTAGGAGTTCAAGACTGTGCCTGTCGTTGGCAAGACCTTTGAGCACACAGGTGACAGTACGACTTTTCTCAGTTCCGCTCCCAATTTTAATGGAAAGAACTCTGGGGGGGGGATGGGTCCGAAGGTCTCCCACCCCTCTTCCCCCACCACCAACCTCTGAAGAAGACTTTCAGCTCGCCGAATATTTACAGTGCCCCTATGGTGCACAGACACTATACATTTACAAATATGTATGCCTTCTCCGGGATTCAAACCCGCGCCTATCGGTACGGCATTGAACGTCGTTACCCACTATCCCAATTGGGTGGTACGAATAATTATTTTAAGATGCAGTAATAAAATGTCAGGAAAAAGCGTTTCTGAGTAGAGATTCAAATAATTTTTTTCTTACGTTAAAGGTAAATATCCTTTCAGCTAAAAAGACAGCCAACACATTTTGAAAAGCATTCAAATTTGGAGCCATTATATTCGTCTGGCATATGTATATATAAACTGTGCTCTTATGATGCCCATTGGTGTCTGATATTTTGATATTTAATTGTTAAATCAAAAGGTAGCTGTTGTAAAGAAGTTAATTGGTAACCGGTGAAACACTAGTAACAGCATTGTTCTTCTTGTACTGCAAAATGAAATACGCACTTTTCACTGAAAGTGCCCAGAATTACAGTTGCACAATGAGAGAAAACATTTTTTAATCTACATGTTTGTGAATTTATGTTGAATTACTTTTAGAAAATGTGTAAATTATTGTGCTTACTTATTTAAAGTTCTTAAATTTTTAATCCTTTATCTTTTATCTTTTTGTTAATTTCGAATTTTATGTTCTGGGGTGTCTTTTAGCTTACATAAAAATGGGTTTGTATACTGCATGTTCAAAATTTTATATTTTATTTTCATTACCATATAAAAAGGAATTCAAAGAATGAAGTTTTTTTTTATTTTATATTAGATATTGTCTCATGTGTTCTTCTGTGTCCCATGTATCTCATGCCATTTCTCTTTGGGTTTTGTTGCTCTCTCAGAAGTTATTTCTGCGAAAAATGATTTTGGCAGTTTGCGATCGATACGTAGTTTATAACTGTTTGATTTCTTTTAAATCCTGTAAAGACAATTTTAAAAATTTGCAAATTCTAATTTTTTAATTATTTTTAAAGCGTGTCGAATAGTAAAAAGTTTCTTTTCTAGCTGTGCAGTTTTTATATTAAATATTATACCATGTGCTTTTTTAAATTCCTACTATTAGCTCACACTCTCCCGTTACCTTGTTCAAATTTTCAATCGTTAATAAAGCAATTTTTATTCATCCACTCAAGCTCAAATACATTTTTTAAACTTGTAGTGTATGACACTTGATGTTAATACAGTTTTTTCACATATTCAAGATAATTAAAATTTAAAGATATCGTTCTTATATTTTCTTCAACATGCTAACTGAAAGTTATTTTATTCAGTAAAAAGGAGTATAGTCCACGAAGCATTTCTGAGAGCACACATTAAGGATAAGAAAACAAACTATTTCTAATACATTAAACACATGGCTTTAATTCTATTTCGCATAACTTTCCTTTTTGTTTTGATAGTGAGTTCTTAAAAGTAATGAGTTATTCAAAGTTTGCCGAGCTTTCGTTCATGTAGGGCTCAGTTGGTCAACGATTACCTGAAAAGTGAGCACATTTGCCGCATGGATTGGCCATACAGATCTTCTGACCTTTATCCTATACAGCATGAAACGATGGAAGGCAATTTTATCTCGCCACCCCTTCCGAGAACCAATCCGGAATTAAAAACTGCTTTGTTGCTGGAGTGGGATCGAATGCCACAAGGACTCCTCAGTGGTGTCCGCCGAAAACATCGAGGCAAAAACATCGCGGACGGAAACCTCGCGGAGAAAGCTGCGCTGGGCGAAAACGTTATGGGACAAAAGAAAGCAAAGAGAAAACATCACAGTTCTAAAACATCATGGTAAAAAATATCCTGATCAAAATCGTAAAAACAACCTTGTTGAGCGGAAGTATATTGAAACACTCAATTGATTTCGAGGGCAGCTAAAGGTCCCTCCTCATCAGGAGAAAGAAATACCTAGAAAGAAGAAAAATAAAGGGGAAGGAGTCTCAGAAACACGTAGCCCTTAACAGCACTGCACGCGGTTATAACCGGATTTTAAATCAGAGTTACACCGGCCGCCTACTTTTACTGAGCCAGGCTATTTGATTAAACATGTAACACAAAGGACAAGAAAAATTAGCGAAGTTAAAAATAGGGAGCGAGGGGCATTTGCACCTTCACGCTCAAAATCTGAACTTCGAATAATGGAAAGCAACCACTGAACGGATTTTTATACCCTCTGGTAGTACCAAACGCGAGGAGGTAACGCCATCTATCGACAAAAAGAACTGAATTAAGATAGTAGAATTTTAAAGGCATTAGGAAGGACTGGATTGGACTTCAAATCAGTAACTAAACTTGCTAAATCTTGGTGAATATGAAAAGCCTCAAGAAAATCCAATTCACCTATGAAAGAAGCCTTTTGGATAATTTTTGCAGACCCAAAGTTAAAATTATGGTTAAATGTCCAACTATGACACGCTATTGAAGACTTGTTAATTTCGCCTTTTCTGACATAAGATTAAAGGATGATTTGTAGGTTCTTCATTTTTTACCATGATATTTTCGACGACGATGTTTTTAAACTGCAAAGTTTTTGAACCGCTTTATTTTCGGCCAAGATATTTTATACCGCGGTGTTTTCTCTCTGCGGTATTTTCTTCCACGATATTTTGTACCACGACATTTTCGCCTCCTGTCCAGTATGCCCTCATGCTGAACGACCTGTCTGGTTGTGAGAGGGGATCGTATTAGACTCATTTTCAGTTCGACATCAAAACCTGAGTTTTGGACCTCCTTGCACTATGAGCTTTACTGATAATCATATATACATAAAATGACTTTTCAATGGCACATCTGTTTCTATGTTATCAAAGTATATTCGTATCAAAGTTCACTAAAATCTACCCATTAGGTCTTCAGAAATTTCATACAATGGGCAAATTCTCTTAATTTTGCATACGAGTGCCTTAATTGTATATACGTACATGACATCGCATTCAATGCATTTTAACTCACATTTATACTCGTTGCTCAGTTTTTATGAAGTATATAAATTTGAATTGTTCATTACAGAACAATTCATATTTATATACTTCATAAAAACTGAGGAATTTTCCTTTTATATAAGTGACGATATTGTTAAACTGGGTTTATGTCTGACCTTTCATGGTTGTAAATTTGCATGTCACTCTTCTAAGTTTGATGTTATTAGTCTACTAATAATTTTGTATCTGATAAACCTCATATTTACATACGCTCTTTTTTAATTCGTTTCACCTGTATGCTATACGAATATATGTATTTTAGTGTTTAGCACGTCTTTAGATATTCATGTTTGTGTCATATTTTAGTATAAAATATGTACAACAAGTCTAAGTAGCTATGTTTTTTAATACTTCTTTTAACAAAAGTGATGAAAGCCAGTTGTGTCGGTATCTTTATCACTTCCTTATTTGTTTTATTTAGTATATATTACTTGCGTTTTATATGAGTTCTCTCTGATCTGCCTCATCAAAAATGTTATACTAAATTATTGTTGTTGATGTACTAAATAAACTAATTGTGAGTACATCAACAACAATAATTTGCAACAACAATAATGCACAATAATGCAATAATAATGCACAATAATGCAATAATAATTTATAATAAGAATAATATTGTTGCAATAATAATGCAACAATAATGCAATAATAAGAATCAAAGTTCATATACGGCACATCGCCATTACATTCGTTCGCGCTCTCCTGTTACTCTCTGACGCTTCTCACTTTGTGTCCTCTAATGGCGACTCTTTTACAGTGCCATCTATCGGTGGATTATTGTACATAGTGATACAATATTTACTGCATCATAAGTGTATAAGAATTTTACTGCTGCATTCATATTTCACCAAGAGTTCCATTGAAGTATCTTGTAAGTAGCATTACGGAAAAATCTTGTAACTGACATCCAGTTGAACGGTAATATGAAAATTACGGCACGTTTGAAGGTCTAAATTTAAATCCGAAATTTAGGCCTCTGAGATCAAAATATGTATCGGGCTAACAATCTGAATATTTAAATATTGAAAAAATATTTGCATGTTTCTTCCGCTGAACGTACTAAGCATTTTTTGCCAATGAATCAAGAAATTACCCATAATACAAAAATGAACTATCGATCCCCTTTTATACTGTGAATATTGAACTTTGAAGGTAGTGCTTTCAAAAAACAATTAGGATTGAAATATGTTATATTTACTTTTGTTCTTGCTTGAAAAAATGTAGAGAACATTACTTTATATCGCTGTTAAAGTAAATTCATCATGTTCATCATCATGTTCGTAGATTGTCATCATGTTCGTAGATTGAGGAGTCAAGTGACGAGGATTCTGATGATGTTAAGAAACGTCCGGATGTCGTACCTGACATCTTGGATTCAGTTACATGTTCAGAGAAGTTTAGGAAGAGGAGATTGGGGCTTAGGGTGCATGTAGACAATACTGTTCCTACTACATTGTCTCAAGGCGTCGGCGAAATAATGGGGCATGTAACTGATAAAGGAGAAACCATAGAGATGGAAATGGCACACAGAGCAAGAAAGTTACTTGGAAGGAAGCTGAAGAAGGATTGTGGATTTTCTTGCACGTGTGGCTAACAACGAAAAGAGATCAAATCCCGGTGAAGGCACTTCGAAACATTTCGGGTTTCTGGCTAAAAAAAAATCTAAGCGCCTAGTGAATCTTCAGACTTTTGCGGGATAATATATATGACAATTTTAAAATAATTTTTAATTTCGACATGTGAAATATAAAATTATGTATGTAATTTAATTTTAAATAATCTGTCCGATTTTTATGTTATTTATTTAATTATGGTCTATTAATAAAAAATAAAACAAAATAAATTAAAAAACTGAGCATCGGATTTCGCATATCGTCATCATATCGATATTTTCATCATATCGATGACAATTCATCGATGGCATCACAAATCATGAACAAAAATGTTCTCTATATATATGTATTCAGTTATCCGGAATCGACCAGGTTCCGTTACTGATAGTTAAGAGAAGATTTAACTGTATAATATTTACTGCACCATTGTCATACCAGTTATTATACAGCAGCATGCTGAGAAGTATTATGTACATAGTGTTCATAACCTTATCAAGAATCCTTATCAAGTACAGTATGATATACATAATGATACAAAATTTACTGTGTCATTGCTGTATCCTTACAGCATAACACTTTTGCTATTGTTACAATGAAACTCTTGATATCCTACTCATGAACTACTACACGATATATTTGAGTTTGAGAATGTGGAAACTTTGTTTGATGTAGATATTTAAGGAATTTTCACCATTCAATGTTGCTTTTTCTGTAATCAGTTATAGTCATTCGTGACATTCTTTCCCATTTTCTTATATCTGACCTTGTTTTTGTGCATTATTGATTATTTTAAAATTTCTTCTTCATGCACGGTAGGTTGCAACGTACCAAACTTATGTTTGATTGTTAAAAAGATTATATTGATTAAAACAGGTTTATCACTTCGATTTAAAATTTAAAAAGCAGAAGAAAATTTGAGGTACCGGTGACTGAGAAATAAAACTGATGAATAAATTTTATTTTATAATTCATGGATTTTTTCCAATTCTTTAAGAAATATTAGTAATCTCGTAAGAAATCGTTGCGGCTTCAGCCCTCATTAATTCATCAGACTGAACCTCAAAACTCCACTCTTTCTTTTATAAAATTCACTTCAGTCAAATACTGAAAACTCTGCTTACATTTTTACAGGAGTGCAACCAGAATGAAGTCTCTTCTTTTG